AACCTAAATCATATTTTAATGACTTACAGTTTTGTAATAATAAATTATTAACAAAAACTTGTTCCCGCGCAAAGCGCGGGTACTGGACTAGTATATTTTTATATGCTGACTAAAAAAACATAGTGGAAAACCAAGTAATATACTAAAATAAATATTTTAAAAGGCCACATTTACAACATGTTTAGCAACTTCTAATTTTACATTAATTATAACATGGAATTTCATCCAAATACTTAGTTGTTGAATACATACAAACCATCCCAATACTCCATATTCTGTATATAATTATTATCTACCATATAAAATGGGATGTTATAATTAGTTTCTGGAGCAAACTCGAAATCAATTGGTGCATCGTTGACTTCAACGGAGAGTGATGGACTTGAACTGTTTGTTGACATTTCTTCAAGCCGTTCTGATAGTTTTCGAATTTCATTTTGAGCTTGACTCAGTTGTTCTGTCAGCTTTAACACCTAACAAAAAAAAACATATACAAATACTTAATACAATGTTATGATCATGTTAAGTTAAGCAACAATCGAGATATATATATACGATTTTTTTCCATATGTTAATTTCAGTAACAAAATGAAAGTTTTCTCTTTCCATTATCTATAGTAATAAAGAAAAAAAAAATAATTTAAAAATATGTAATTCGTTAAGTAGCAATACGTTATTCATCAAATCAATCGAGGATATTTCTGACATGTCAGCCAAATGCATAACAATGTCTACACGTGGCACCACCTGACTAGTAATTGCAAATGGGCTAACATGAGCCCAACTGAGATTGTACGGACGAAACTGTTTTTTTTTAATGATGGATAAGAACTATCAACTTATGTGGGCCCATCGATTAATCGACTATTTCATTAATTTATTTGACGGGTAAAAATAATTAATCCCAAGTCCTAACTCCTACTGGAATGAATTGCTGGTTATAAAAGCTGATATAACTAACCAATATATGCAGAAATATTGAAAATTTAAATAAACCAATAACCACATATAAATTCGGCAAAACAAGAAACTCGTAAAATTTCTGTGTTTTATAATGAAAAATATAAAGATTAATTTATACCTGAGACTCGAGCTGACATTGGCCGAGGACGACGGTGTCGTGTTGGCTCTTGAGTTTAGCGTACTCTTCCTCGAGTTTCTTGTTCTTCCACCGTGCACGGCGGTTCTGGAACCAAACAGCCACCTGTCTCGGGTCAAGACCTAACTCTCCGGCGATCTTCTCCTTCCTTCCCGACTCTAGCTTGTGCTCGTTCTCGAAGCTGTATTCGAGCATGTTCACTTGCTCATCCGTCAACTTTCTCTTCCTCAACATGATCCCTCCGATCTCCGCCACGTCATCTTCGTTTGTGGCTGATGAATCTTTGCTCCTCCTCTTCCTCCGCCGCTTCACCGGCTTTGTTCCTTCGCCTGAAAGTGATGATGATCCATCGATCTGGTTCATGATGATGCACTGTGAATGTTGGGTTTGGACCGTGTAGGGATACACTTGAGAGCCTAGCACCATTTGATCCATT